TTCATTTTACACTCTCTTAATGAGACGAACGAACACTTGTGTCATGCATTCCTCACGGTGCTGTGACCACGTGACTGTTCATGAATAAATAATTTGATGCTAGTGTCGATCATAAATAATGCAATTCATTACGCCCGTACTTTGCTAAAACTCTTTCCCTAATTTTGGCTCATTTACAGCCGAACTCAGCAGAATATTGCTGCAAAGCACAGCAATTGTTCTGCTCTTAACTGTTGACTTGAACATGCAAATTCATTAGTTCTTCGGTAGCTGGATTGCAAGATGAAAAAGCTCATTCACACTCATTTGCGTCATGAACACAGCAGGTCCGTTCGTCGCGAATTCATAACCGGCTGAAAATTTCAGTTCTGTTTTTCTGTTTGCGTTTGCGATAAACTTCAGTAACGTTTCCGTCAATAGTATTTCAAGGTTTTTACCGCTGATGACTTTTTGCAGTAATGCAAAAATTGTTTCCGTTCTGGCAAACGAAGCTTAGTGTAAGAACATGGAAAATGCGTCACTAGATGCTTTGCGTTAAGAATATTCATTTCGTTGAGAGAGTGTAAAATGAAGTAATATAAATTGATGCAATGCGAACGAACGCTTTCTGCAATGCTCTCTTTCCGACTCACCACCAGCAAAGCATGAGATCATTCAGCGATTTGATATTTCATAGCACTTTTTTGCGAATTCTTGAATCATTCAATAATTCGTCGTCGCATTCGGTGGGCGCATGAAACGAATCAAAATTCGATAAGGACTCAGATTATGAGTGAATATGACAAGGTTCGTTCAAGCATGACTAGAAGGCAGGCAGTAATGTGGTACGCGCTTTGACTAGGTCATTGAGTCAGTTCCTTGACTGGAACACTTTATTTGAATATACGATTCGCACTAAAATTTACAGATATGGGTGAAAATAATCCAAGCATCACACTGTCAAGTTTGGAGTCATCACACTTTGGAGTCACTTGAAAAACAATAACATTGCATTGCTCCAATCTTTACCTACAAAATAATTTTTGGGAATAATGTTTGATATATTAAGTTTATTGTTTTGGTAACTATCATCAGACTGCCTTGATGTTTTATATCGTGTTGAATGTTGCACTGAATAAGTTCCGTGATTAGTTAATAACTGGGTGAGTTTAGCTAACATATGCAAGCTGTCCATTTGATGATTAAGAAGATTTATCCTCTAGCTTCAGGCAAACCAGATTTTGCATACTTCTCAGGTCTTTCTGCGGAGTTTTCGAGCGGATTTCCCAGCGTAACNCAATCTCATCTGCTTCTTATCTACTCATTCCAGAAATGCTGTCCGATTGAGCCGTTTCCGATGTGGATCGCTACGACAATATTATCGGAGCTGTCTTTTTGTTCACCACTAAAATGATGTAATTTGTCCTTGTGATTCGGGCCAATCTTTCTCGAATCTGATTGAAGATGTGTAACGAACTGCAACAAACCTACCCATTCATCCGTAATAGTCCGGAATATTAGAGCGCGATCAGTTCACTGCAATTGTTCAATTTGCAAATCATGGTTGAGCACAAAAAATTGTGGTTGGCTGATGTGAATCTGCATGGAAACGTATTCGTTTTTGATGATGTAATGTGTTGTGGTAATATGCCGAATTTTAATATGACAAATCAAATGAGGCAAATATTTTTTGAATTGCTTCTTGCGGTCGATTTCCAGTATGGATATTAGGGAATGGAGGGATGAATATGAACGCAGATGGGTTCGACAACCTGGAAGGTTTGCTGTTCAGAGAGTCAAGCACAAGGTTTACAAACCACAAAAAAACAGTGTTCTGATTTAAAACGTTCTTTCTCAACATATTTTCTAGATCCTTGTCTGGTGGATAATACCATAAAGGTGCAATCTCAAAAAAATGCTTTGCGTTAGAACTTTCAACTGACACAAAAATTGCGTCAGTTTTGTGACCCATTCATTTATGTGAAGCATAGCGAGATTCTGGTCGGGTTTTTATGTTAGTCGGGAAGAAATAACATTAACATGCCTGAACCACTTTCTTTAGACGAAAGTTAAATGGATTTACGCAGATGACATCATCAACAAGAAACTCCTAATGAAGTCGCTGAGCTCACGACAGTTTTGCTCAGCATTTTGACCAGTGATCAAAATTTGATGGTCACAGTGAGAGACATCTTTGTGGAAGGCTTAGTTCTTACAAAAACTATGAATTTCATTTTTTAACATCATTCGTTGAACTGATCTTATCCTCGGAAGAAACATAGAAATTGAAAACACAATGAACTGGCAGCGAAATTAAACCAGAATAACGGGATTAACAATTATCCGCCCGAGTGATTTTAATTCAGACTTCAAAAATTCCTTAATTAACTGTGACTCCAATTGATTGTTTTTTCCTCGCTTTACCGAACCGTAGTTCTATTTGTAGTTTATCTACACGGTTTTTACCCCTTTTGAACCTCAGAATTCGTGGCGTTTAAGAGAAGAATCGAAACGGGTGGCATTCAAGATACAATCTGAACGTTGGATGAGCTAACAGGTTTCACACAAAAAAAAGCATTGCATAAACTAATTAATATAACTTGTATATAAACATTTTCTAATAATATCCTCGGTTCAGTTTTTTGCATTGCTCTCATTAACCACTCAGTAACAAGCCAAAAAATTCTCGCAATTTTTCAAACGTCCATAAACTTCGTGGTGTTTTCGAAGCAGTGCTTGACGACTCCTAAATATGCCCGTTCGCCACTAGCGACAAATATGCTTCCCTGAGGAGAATCACTTTGAAAATTCCACTTCTTAACTGACGAAAGATTGCCGCTGCTGTTGCTGCTGCTGAAGGATGATGCACACCATCTATGCGTTCCTCATTGTGTAAATTCCAAATCGGTGACTGAAACGCCACGAAATCCACCTGATAATCTGCGAGAATGTCACCAGAAAATCCAGGAAGCTTCTCATTATTTTGCATTGTTTAACCAATAAGTTTAGTGCTAATTTTCCACCGACAACGCATCATTCTGCCACACTTTTGTGAATCGTCGATTATGCAGCTGTTAAAGCTGTACTACAGGCCAGAAGAAGTTCTAGTACTAGGCAAACATAAGGGGAACATGAAAGCATCAAGGACAAATATTGCACTCTGAGTTTGCAGCACTTCACATTTGTCCTAAAATCGTTCGCATTTCTCAAGTTGTCTCATTAATGACCAGCATCTCAACTGCTATGTCCTATTCTAATTCGGTACGAATTTTGCTCACGATCAGTTATCATTCATTGAAAAGTTTTCGTTTGGATTGCTAACTGAATGAGTGAATTACCTTATGCATAGCAAGTGCACGAATGGATCACGACGCTTTCATGAAGTGTTCAATATGACACGCTAATATTCAATGTAATGCTTGTTTTGAGTATTTTCTGGCCCTTAATTTCACTGAGTGAGTTGAAAGTTTCCATGGAGAAAAATAAGTGCGATGGAATTCAATTTCATGATTCAAAACCAAATCATTGATTCGTTCAACGTTCATTTCTACGCTTATGCGTTAAATTGACTGCACTTTAGTCGCTTCAGTGTTTTTCTTCGAGGGATTTTCGTTCTTCACACAAGTGAACATTTTCCATTCAGCTGTCATATGCAAAGCCTCAGGCATGTTTTATTTCAAGAATACCATAGGCACATCACTAAATCATGTTTAACTTTATCAACTTTTGTTGATCTGCCTTCTCGCATGGTGTTCGATCTGATCGTCTGTCACCTTGTGCAAGACTGTCATATTATTGACGAATACAATTGCTGTTGGGTATTTAGTCAATCCAACTGAGTTTGGGAANTGAAAAGTGTTTAATTTGCTGTAATTTCTCTGTTGAGAATCTTCGTACTGATTCTCTCAATCAATATGATGCTCGGAGCAATTTCACCAGATTTGAGTTCATGACTCTACCAACGATGAGAATGAAATAAAACTATTGATACCGGGTGATGAACACTTGATTTTGTGGGCTCTTCCGTTTTCAATTTGAAATTTAGTGCAATTTAGTGATTGCAAGCGATGCATAGAAAACATAGTGTAAATTCCCTTAGGGAATCAATCGACTTGCTGTGAATGTGGAAAATTCTTTGGAAATAAATCGCTTCTCGAACGATTGAGCGAATGAAAGCAACGCTCAACGATTCATTCATTCATACACCTCCATTAAACTTTTCGTTCGAACAAACAAGCAGCAGAGAATGTCATCTCAAAAACAATAATTTTTCTTTCATCTCCCAAAAAAACAAAACGAAATGACCTGACAGCAAATTGGAACGATTTGATGTGACAATGGTACTATAGGCTGCTAATATGTGTCGAGTGTGAATGGAGAAAGTGTTTATGAGATATCTTGCTTAAATTCCTTGTGCACTCATAATTCATCCGAAACGGATCATAGATATCCACTGCAAATCCCAAACTTCTTATAACCCAAAACCGTTTGAAAGCTTTAAAAAATGCCCCAAATCAGAGGCAAAAGTGACAGACGACGGCCATGACGTCAAAATGCTTCTTTCTGCCAGAATAAACCCAGGAGAAAAACATAAGAATTTAAGATTTGTCGAGCAAAAACAACGATAATCAGTAGCCTCAGGCATCATTCATTCCAAGCGACACAAGCAAATGAAGTAACGCTCGTGAAGATTGCATTGATTGAGTTCGCGTTCATCACGGGAAATACAGCTTATACGGAGGATGAACGATGGTTTTCTTGAGGTTTACAAATCAAATGCAGAGGCAGCCGAAAGTTGCACTCTGTAAAAATGCGAATGTTTAGTGAAGCGCTTTTCAGTCGATCCTTTATTAGGGCGTTGCCTGAGGCTGTGAAACTGAACAACGAAAGAAGCTTAGAATTGGTAATTTTGTGATGCTTTGATAATCCTAGACATGATTTTTCACGTGCCATTATGGGATTAAGCAAACATCCCGCGACTTTTCATTCGGAACATTTTTAGGAATTCGCATGAGATTATTCACCATTTGGTTCTCTCATTTTAAGTTCACTTCTAATTTCACGATGACTACAAATGGTGTATTATAATCGAATACGACGGAGTCAAGTCATTCATTGCGAATCGATTGAATGGAACAAGATTGAATATATCAGTAGATGAACATATTTGCATTATAATGGGAGCAAAAATCAGCTGGAGCATGCCCTTGAATTTGAGCGATTTGATACAAAGCATATCTTGAAAGCAGCTAACAAAAAAATTTTTATTAGCCTCAATACGTTTTATTCGATGACATTCAAATTTGCATTTGCTTCAATTTCTTGTTGTACGATCAAGCGCATTATGACGGCCCATTATATGCGTGATTTAGGTGCGCTCACTCGTTGGCTGCATGTTCGCTTGAATGAGCTCAAATTGTCGAGTCAAAATCGCCGCCGTTCTATTTTCAACCGAATCGCTGACAACTACCGACAGCTGTAACGAATCACACTAAAGCAACGGATCACGATGTTGTTCACTGCACATGCACGTCAATTACCACTATCGCATGAACATAATACTGTTGACATTCCACTATCCAGAAATTGTATTGTACTTTGTGCTATGTAAAGAAAGCTATTTAGTCTCCTTCTAACATAGATGAATGCTTGAAGAGAATATTGAATGTACGAAATCATTTCCAAAAAAAAATTATAATCAACGCTTGCAATAGACTTATCGACCTTTTGCTGAAACTCACCACCTGTTGATTAACCGCACATTATGGAATACATAAACTGTGTATAAGTGCCGATATGCGATTTTCATTACATGAGACCATCCACGCTAAGTTGTCTCTACGCACGAACAACATCAGCAGAATTCATTCAGATGAGCAAGACTATCCGGATGCAATCATTTTGTTGAATTGTGCTCAGCGTCACGCTCGGTAATGCGTGTCTATACTCAGAATTTTGCTGAAGCTAAGGCATAGAACGACTTGAATTGCATCCGGGTGTTTTAACTGATTCTCGCTGACTGCGTACCGTAATTCTCAAGTGATCTGGTTGAGTTGGACAGAAATGGCTGCAACTGAAATCTTCACATGGGTTTTTTTGAGCACACCTGAACATTCCTGCTGTTTTTGATCGATGTCATGTAGAACACGCACTTCTCGCATCCGTTTTTCACTGCCTACATCTCGAAGAGCATCTTAGACGGAATCGTCATGATCGTATAAAGCAAAAAAGGTGATGATCGCAAAGAGTACTCGTCTTATGCGCATCAATTCCGATTGCATCCTTTCTCCGTATTGAATGAGTGTCCGATTGATTGAGATAATGACCGTAAGATGTTTGATATATGTGACTTGCCTCGTGAATGAAACGGTGAGAGATATATAAACGCGCGTCTATATAACATGAAGATGAGATCAACTGAAGACATTGTTCTAGCGAACAGTTTAAATGATTTATTTATTTCATCAACACACTGCTGAGGATTCTTTGGAGATGCCGCCACTTCAACAATTCAATCATACGCGTGCTGATTCAGTGTGTCGGCACCATGCATATATTAAGCACTCACATTGTGCTGCACACAAGCTCATGTCGAAAGCCGTAAGTGGAGACGTATTGAAGAGCCTCAATTGTTAATGGGAATCAATTTATTGATACAATCGTTGTTGGCATCACTCGAGGGTATTGAATGACAAACGAGATCGACCATTTCTAAAATAGCTGTAATGAATTCCTTTGCAAAGACACAGTCACGATTCAATTTGAACTCTTCTGCGAACAATTAACAGTTTCAACTCCATTAGAGCAATTGTAGTTTGGACAGTGAAATGTTTCGAGAACGATACCTTTTTTCATTGGTTTCTGTTATTGCAGCCTTTTTTGGCACATAACGAATTCCACTCTCAGTATCCGATGTAGAGAGAACGCACCATCTTACATTCGGAAAACAACAAATTTTCAGCTCAATAACTTACTTCCTTTCTCAATTCAATAACTTACGATTATTGCAATCATGCTAAGGAAGTCACCAATAAGAACAAAGCTATCTTATAACTTATAATTTATACCTTATGCACATAATCTACGCACAACCTATGATCTACGTACGCATAAGCATGTCATTTGTACTATCTAAAATCCATAAGCATAAGTGCGGATACCAAAAATATGGTATCCAGTCTATTTTGAGCCTAAACGCAAAGCATGGATAATTGAAATGTCCACCCTAAAAGTATTACCTAGAACCGTTAGTCTCTCTCTGATCTGTGAGAAGTGAGAGATTGGAAGAGCCTTTCGTTGCAATGTTATGAAACAGTCAGTATCTGTTTTGTTACTGTTCAGCAGTTTCGAACGAAAGCTCATCGAAGCAGTGATTATGTGAGTTGAATTTCAGTGCCGAACGTTTGAATCTTTACTTGGACCGACAGGATGGAGAGGGCGGAATCCTCGAGCAAATTGACGAAGAACCACAAATCGCATTTGAACCAAAAACAAGACGAGAGAAGATCAAACAGGTTTGTTTCATTTCCTTTGCTTTTTCACCGAAACACGATCATATCTTATCAGACATTTAGTAGTTTCACTGTGTTCTTCATCCTTTGCACAACCAAGAAACATCTTCGATTTTGATACGCGATAATCAGCAATTTTTCTTCTTCCTATCTGACATAACCTACCAAACATGACCGACTACTCAAAAATGTGCCAGAGTTATACAGTCATCCTTTTGAACTAGGTTTAAACGTAAGCTCAATTTAACTTTTCGAATCGAACCTTTGAGAGCAAAACTAATTTGAGATTAAAATCTGATTCAGGGAGTTGAGACTGAAAGAGGGCGCATTTAGAAGGCTCTATCGATCCTTCATTAATTTAGGCGCAATTCGTAGATTGTCGCTAGGATTTTGATTAGCTGCTCAGCAACCGTAATCGACATAAGGTTTGCAAATGGGATGCAGATTGCTCCATTAAGCAAGAGAATCGCATAAGGAACTGCAACTATCATCTATGAACACGACTCGATGGGACAATTCATCTGTCACGTTTAAATTAGTCTGCTTGTTGCTGCTAATCAGACTGCAAACATTTAGTTGAACCAACAACGCTTTTCTCATGAGAATTTTCAACAAAATTGAACGAAACGATTTCCGGTCTATATTGAGAGCCATACGATAACGCCATAGATTTAGGTTTGCCATGAAATACCGCATTATTTGATCGCGTCTAGGCGTATCATTTGTAGAAAATTCCTTGTTCTTCATTCCTAGATGAATCCCGCTGAAACACCGAGTTGAATGATCCACTAATGCAATTGAAATGATTTATTCCATCAGCTTGCCCCTTAAGTCTGTTGACTGCAACCAATAAAAATTTGGATTGTTGTAATTATGCGAAAATTGTAAAGTTTTCAATTCGTGTCGAGAGCTGATTCCTTATCAATTTTCTCGCTTTACGTCGACATATGCCAGAAGCGATGAAACTCCGTTACCGATGATACGCAGACTTTAGGATTTATCATGTTTCCTTCAGTGTGCCTCTAGTATTTTTTTCGACAGGCTTCTTGAGCGTTCTATTGCTAGCAGCATCTTTTAAAATCTTGAGTTGTCTTCAAATCGCTGCCCAAAAATGAGTGTATTGAACGTTCTGATTGAAAATATTCGCACGCTTAAAAGCGTCTCATCGCAGTAATCACTTTAACA